GTCGAAGAGAAAACGCATAGTTGCATCTTCTGTTAAAATAAAAGGAACTTTTTGGGGTCTTGTATAGTTAAGGTAACAAGTCCGATGATAATTTAACTCTAAGGAAACTATGTTTTGCCCAATATACTAGCTGGGTTTTCAGCTTTACTTAAGCGTTTTCGTATAAGTAGGCACGACGTAAAAAAGACGTTTTTAAACGTCTTATACTCGTTTTGGACCTCTTTTGAATGTCTTTTGAACGTTTTGGACGTCTTTTGAACGTTAAAAAGACGTCTTTTTTAGGTCCGGTGCCCATTGGGTGAAAGCGTTTTATATCCGTTCCTATATTTATTAGTCTTTTTGCAATAACAAATGCAACACTTTTCATCCGCAATAATTTTTCATGAAACAAAGGATTATTTTAATTTTGAAGTAGTACATAAAACATAAAAAAAATGTGAAAACTGAGGGCAATATTCTTTGCTTTGCAATTCACACTAAAAGAATTTTTGATTAATCTCTTTTCCGAGCTGAGATTCTACGCTTAAACGAGGATGCATTATCCACGCCTACACTCTCGTTGACATTTTCTGCTCTATTTTTCCGATGTTATAAAATGTTTAATGTTTTGATATTCACATACTTATCGTAACATCTTTGATGAAATAAGAAAGTTGTTGGGCACGTATTAGCAAGTCCGTATCCAGCATTATTTGGTCTTCGAGATTTTTGACCATATAAAGTTTAAACCCCCCTCAATTTGAGGGGGTCGCAAATTTTATATTGTTATAATTATTGAACGCTGAAATATTTTACTATGAAATTTAAAATTTATCGATAAATATAAGTCTGGTTAAAAATAGTACAAAAATATTTCATCAACTTGTTGCACTCACGTTTAGGGCAGGAGAAGCACAAATTTTGGGGCTTTTTTGTTCCCAAGCTCCAATTATCGCAGTTTTTTGCAAAGCATTCTTATTTGACATAAGTATAAACATATAAATGTTTGGAGTTTGCTCCATGTCTAAAAGTTAGATATCTCGAAGACCAAAAAATGCTGAATACGGACCTGAATTTCAGGTAGAATGTTTATGATTTTAAAGTCATTTCGAATTTGAAGATTGTAAAAAAATATATATTATTATCAAATTTACGCTATTTATTGTTTTTTCCGTACCATTGTTTAAGGCATATATAAAAAAATAAACTGAGTTGTACATTTAGTTTGTAACTTACCAAGCATTGTAAGTCACAATGCTTGGTTTGCAAGTCACAATCCACAAGTCTTCACTTTCTCAAGCGCATTTTCAGTAAAACCACGCAATTTGTTATTATTACGACCAACTTCACCATGATAAAGTATACAAGCATTTTTAATTTCTTTTTTGGGAACCAGATTAAAATGCTGCATTTTTTGGCAACTCGCCATTATTTAGTTTAATAATAATAAATAAATAAAAATAAAACATGTTTTTTTAGTTAATAAGTAATAAAAATAAAACACGTTGTTTTATATTTTTGCAACAACCGTTTCTTTTAAAATGATTGAAGTTTGTTATGCAAATAAATTATTTTATTTATAAAAATGACTTTAATTTTTTTCTTTTTATTTATGACGATGATTTTTATTTTGATTATGATTATGACTTTTTATATTCTTTACTTTTAAAAAGAACTTCGATAAAATAAAAAAAAGTAAACAGTTTTTGAAAAGTAAACATTTTTTAACGTAAAAAAGAAAGGGAATATTTTTTTATTTCTTAGATTTATTAAATTAAAATTATTTCATATTTTTAATACAATATTAAAAAAAAAATTATAAACAAATTTTTTTTAAAATAAGGTTCATGAAGTTTTGGTTACATAGATTTGAGTAATTCTATTTAAAACATCTAATTTTGCAAACAATTAACCCCCTATCAATAATTTGTTAAAACTAAATTAATGCTTTGCGGTATTAGATTTATAAACAACATGGCGGATATATCATGCTTGAAATTTTTTCAATAAGCTGCATCAATTTTTGTCTCTAACTTAAGTTATAAGCACTTTCCAAGTGGCACGTAAAAATTTTTAAACTTCTTAAGTTATAAGGAACAAGTCTATGTAAAAATCAGAATGTCCACTCAAAATGTTTAGTTTTCCTTTTTTTTTCACATGTAGCGACCAGACTACAATTGTTTTACTAATTTTTGATTGAATATAATTAATATGGGGAAGCAATGATAAATTTTCATCTATAAGAATTCCATAGAATTTTATTGAATCATTTTTACTATTTAGTGTATCATTTAAAATCAAATCAGGTAGTTTTAAAGGAAGTTTTTCATCTTGTGATTTTTTATGAAATAAAGTATATTTTGTTTTATCTACGTTAAGTGAAAGTTTATTTGCCTTAAACCATTCATCGACATTCATTAGTTCAGAGTTCATGTCAGAACACAGTTGATTAATGTCATAGTTTGAAAGGAAGAGATTTGTGTCGTCAGCAAACATTATTGAGTTAAGCTTTGCTGATTAATTATTTAAATCATTTACATAAATCAAGAAAAGCAATAGACCAAGAATTGACCCTTGTGGAACTCCACATAAAATGTTAAGCTGACCTGATTCCTTACTAATAACATATTGTTTTCTTTCAGTGAGGTAGCTTTTTAACCAATCATGGGTTTTATTTATCACTCCATAGTGTTTTATTTTTTCCAAAAGAATTAGGTGATCAACCAAGCATTGTTCGCTGATAATATATCATTTTTTCTTGTCATAATATGAAGCCAACACTCTGTGATTGCTTGGAGGGGGTTCTTGAGCTTGAAAAAGATCTCACTTCTGCTACAGTATGGGGCTCACAGTCAGGGCCGGCGCGAGTAGGTGTCACGTGGGGGGGGGGGGTGTCATTACAACTTTTGCCGGAAAAAAAAAAAAAAAAAAAAAAAGATCCTCGTTTTCCAAAAATTGCCGACTGTCATGACGACATTTGCCGACTGTCTAACCTATATCGAAAGGGAGTCCACATTTGCCGACTAACTAGGTCCAATTTGCCGACTAACTAGGTCCAATTTGCCGACTAAGGGTCCAGTTTGCCGACTAAAAATCATTGATGGGGGGGTGTCACACACCCCCCTATCGCACCGGCCTTGCTCACAGTGGTTGGTGAACTTTATTTCAGATAAAACTCAATATTTTTTAGCCAATTGTTATTGCAATAATTTAGACCTTCCTAAATTTATGAACGGTAATTTACTTGATGAGTCGTCTACCCTTCATCTTCTAGCATTAACTCTTACTTCCGATCTTTCTTGGAAACTAGATATCAAATCTATTGCAAAATTAGCATCTACTAAGGTTGGATCTCTTTATCAAGCTTAACACTTTCTTACTACGGATTCTATTCTCTTTCTCTATAAATCTCAAATCCGGCCTTTAATGGAATACTGTTGCCATATCTGGGACGTATCTTCTAGTGATGTCCTTTCTCTTTTAGACATGGTGCAACAATGCATTGTAAACATAGTTGGACCTGCTCGGGCAGCCAATCTTCAATCATTATTACATTGTCGCAATGTTGCTTTTCTTTCTCTTTTTTACAAATACTATTGGGCACTGCTCGAAAGAGCTAGCGTTTTTTGTGCCATCTACTAAAATTTATTCTTGTGTTACTCGTCATTCAATCAAGCCTCATCAAAGATGTTGAAAAAAAAAAATGGATTTGGAAAGCAATTCTTTTTCATTAAACATTTAAATTCTTGAAATTTTTAGTGCTAAATAATATTTAAGGTGGATAACGACAAGAAAAAAAAGTTTTTTTTGTGAAAAAATAAGTTTATTGGTATTTAAGTGATATATTGCCTCAATGATCCATCTTAACTATGGTAAAGCTATTTTTAATTAACGCATTTTCAAAATTAATCTATTTTGAATAGTTTGTTGGTTAGTATTAAAAAGCATCATTAGCAACGGCCATAGCAACAACATATTTTTTTCAAAAGTATTAACTAGCTTTTCTTAATGATCAACTGCATAAAAGTTGAAACATTTTGTGGTTTATTATGTCAGTATATATATGTATATATATATATATATATATATATATATATATATATACCAAAATAATTTAATAACACGATTTTTGTAACTATTTTTTTACTGATCACAATAGATCAGCGAAATATCGGAATAATTATATATTAAAGAAAAAAATATATATATATTTAAAAAAAGTTTATACGCAGCCGTATTTATTGAATTCGAACCATATTTTAACGTATAACAAGAAAATGACATTCAAAGAATATATATATATATATATATATATATATATATATATATATATATATATATATATATATATATATATATATATATATATATATATATATATATATATATATATATATATATATATATATATATATATATATATATATATATATATATATATATATATATATATATATACATAGTTAACAATGATGATTTCACACTTTTTTTTACAAATTAATTATTAGTTTTCTCACAAATTAATTATTAGTTGCAAAAAATGTAAATATGAGTTTAATGGATACACATCAAATAAACTTTATAAAAGTAATTCAAAGCAAGGAAGAAATTTATTTGACGTGAATTTGAAAGTTATAATAGCTTTTCGTGAAATAGGTGAAGGGCAAGATGCTATAAAAGATTTTTCTCGTATAATGAGTATGTCATGTATGGACAAAAATGCAATCAATAATTCAATGAAAACAATATCAAAGGCTTACCATTCAGCTGCATTAATTTTAATGAAAAAATATCTCTGTGTTTGTATTCAATCTAGCTACGCTATGATAAGAATTTAAACAAAAATACTTTTATGATGTTTAGTGATTTCTAATACCCTCATGTATTATTTGAATAACCATATATGATTTTAGCTTAAAAATATTAGCGTATAATATAGTAATAAGAATGCAATACAGTAAATATTTTTTGACTTTAGTTTATGTTTATTACAAAGTACTACATTAAAATTTCGGTTTTTTAAAAAAGTCTTTTAGAAAAAGTAAAAAAGCTAAAAAAATTTATTTACGTACTAATTAAATATTGGCATTTTACCCTGGTTTGTTAATTGAAAATGTCGAATCAGAAGCTTGGCATCTTCGCGTGGGTTTTTACTTTGCAAAAAGCGAACTTGGATAGTTTTCCATTGTCTAAAGTCTATACGAGAAAGATAGTTTCCTATAGCAAGCCTGTCATTTCCACTGAAGTGAGCATTTAGTGCATCCCTTATGTGGACATCGTAAGGCAAACCACTTATGTAGATTATAACGTTGTTTTCTAAAATTTCGTAAACACCACCACTGTATCCTTCACACCCACTTGCAATGTTGTTAAAACTAGACAACGCCACAAAAAGTTTCTGTGCATTCATTAAAGAACGTTTTTCTTGCATCAAAGAAACATTTACAGAAGAAAACTCTTGCTCTAACTTTTTTCTTTTGGAATAATTCTTTTTTTCTTCGGATGCCATTTTGATAACATTTTCGAGTGCATATTCCATCCTATTTTTAATTGTTCAGGAGTTAATACAAACATCTAACAATACATAAACGTAAAAGTATTCCCAAGAAAATAATTATCTTATTCAAGAAATTATTGTCTCTTTAAGTTTATATGACTAATATATATTTAGATGAATGATAACAAAACAAAAACAAAGAAAACAATACTTGCTTTTGGTACAAAACAAACCCCTAAAACCTTTGCTAGCTTTGGGTAGTCACCATGGTTATGGTGGCAAAACTAAAAAAATAAAAATATTTCTGTAGTTTTGAGCAAAAAAATTATTGCTGCTAAATTTAAAGATAAAATTTATTTTTCTTTGCAAAGATTTTAAGTTTAATAAGTTGAAAAACGTTTATTTTCATGATGTGTTTAATGTTACTTTTTTAAAGAACACATTAATGGTAAAATAAAAATAAAAACTTAATAAGGACGCAGTATGTATTAGTTTCGTAAGTATTGTAGTATGGGTGTTTAGCGGGTATTTTAAAATTTAATGTCTATATGTTTGAGTGTGTGTGTGTGTGTGTGTGTGTGTGTGTGTGTGTGTGTGTGTGTGTGAATGGAAATAAAACGAGGTTTAATGCCAGCTTTGTGATAATACTTGAAGCACTTTAATGACTAATAGAAAAAGAAAAAAAAATCTCTTGGCTTTTAAACGCCTAGAGATTTTGAAATGGAGTTTAAAATTTTGGTGTAATTTAAAAAAGAACAAAAATTAAAAAATTCTTTTAAATTATTAAAATAAAAACAGGTAAGAAGGTAAATGTGTAGTTTAAAGTTAGAGCAGGTTCGATCTCCATTTAGTTATTTGCTAGTCATTTTATTTGAAAACAAAATTCCGCTAATTATTTAAACTAAAGTAGTTTATCCAAAACAAACTTGTAGTTAAAATACATTTGTTTATGCAAAAAAAAAAAAAAAAAAAAAAAAAAATTGAAAGTAAATAAACCTACTTGTAAATGAAGCTTAAAATACGTTAAATCAGAATTTAACGGTTTGTTGAGAAACTTTTTTAGAAACACTTTGCAATGGCTTCAATATTTTTTGTTTAAAAAAAATTGAAAATAAACTTTAAAGAGTTAATTTTTCTTTAATATTACAGTTCAACAGTTATCAACATAAATAGTTATCAAATATGTTTCTACTTTATTTTTTTTTGATTGTCATTTCTTACTTCTTTTAAATATTAAAAATTTAACTTTAAAAGTTTGAACTTACGAAGTAATAAGTTAAATTAAGTTAAGAAAAGATATCCTTGCCAACAGTATAGATTTTAGGATTTTGAAGAGGCAAACTTAAGAAGTTAAAAAGTGCCATGATTAGTGGGTAGGAGGTAAGATGATTTTAAAAAGCAAAAACCGGGACGCAAAAATAGAAACGATAAAAAAATACGGTGAATATTGGCAATTCGAGTCACCATGAGACAACAAGGAAGATGAGACAAATTTTTTCAATCTTCTGTGTTATAATGGTTGCCCTTGATTATTATTTTTGGTTATGAAGGATTTATTTTATAGTTTTGCTTGTTAAGCTAAGCACATCTGTTTTTCGGAATGTTTAATTTGTTTGATAAAAAATAGCTAGGTTTATTATGAGTATAGTAAAGCTATGATATTTTTCAACGCGTTTCCAATTTTGTGCTGATTATTTTAAGAACTTAAAATTCTTTATTACTCATTCATCAAAAAGAAAAGTTAATTTTTCAAGTAAAAGCTTTAATACATGGTCTTTGTCGGAAAAATAAGATAATCCATTATTCAGTTTTTAAAATTTATAACCCAGCTGACATTTTCCCTTACTTGTTGTAATACACTGAAAACATCAAAAAAATCTTTTTAAAACTTTATATGGTTGTTTATGATGTTTAGAAGTTACAAACAAAAGAAACTAAATAGTCTCTCGTTAATAATCGACAGTTTAAAAATAAGTAAATACGCATTTATATATAAAAATATATATATATAAAAAAATGCATATAAAATGTCTATAAATTCTCTTTATTAAAAAACTTCTCACTGATTTAGTAAAGTTAAAGTAGAACTTGCAAAATCAATAAAATTCATTTATTTGATATTATAACACATAAAGTACAGCTAAGTACTAATCTTTAATTTATTTATGTAATATTTCAGTCTGATTAGCTCAGACCGTCATCAGACATAAAACAAAATACAATAAGAATATCACAAATTGCGTATTAGGGTATATCATACTTTTGCATGTTATGAATTTCATTCAGTACATCACTTTTCCTATGTATTCATATACCCTGAGTTGAATGGTATAATTTTTTTTAGTGAAAAAACAAGTCTTGCTACCGGGAAAACGTTTTTAATTTTCCAAAAATATTGTGTTTTTTTCTAATTGATGACTATTTATGCTATAAATGTACATAATAATTATTTAAAATACTGTTTAGCCCTATGCTTAATTTTGATAATATGTTTTGAGTTTTTTTAAAAATTATTTTATGTATAAGTATCAGTTAATATACAAATATACCTTATAAATATTATAATTACTATTTAAATTTAATTTCAAATTAATTGCTGTTATTGCTGCCTTTATATCTTTCAGACTCATAATATATTAAAAAAAGAAAAATGGCGTTATTAGTTAGCAAGAAAACCAGAAAATCGATTAACACCAAACTAAGTGAGTATCTTGGAGGTCCTAGAAAGTTCCTCCAAACTGAATTTCCAACCTTACGTGACTGTTTACAGCGTTGTCTGGATCTGCAGCGAGACAGAATACTAGTCTATGAAAAAAATCAGCGTAATTTATCAATGCAAGAAATTTTTTCTAATGTTGCTTATGAGGTTGCAGAACACTGGCTTATTTCTAACACAGAATTTAAAGAACCCATAGTTTGTGGAACAAAAGGAATAACACTAAGACTCAGTAGAAGTTGGTCTGCATTCTCTAAGATAGCTCAAAACAAATCTCAAAAATCTTACATAAAACACTGGGAGCCTAAGCTTGATAAACTTTTAGATATTGCTCTTTGCAAATGCAGAATTGTTTACTGCAGTAAGAATGATCCCCCTTGCAAAGAATCTTGTGATAGCGGTGCTCATTGCCTTTGCAAATGTGAGTTAAATTTAAGAATTCCTCAAAAAGAGCTTATTTGGATAAAAAACCAGCGAGAAAAACAAGGCAGTATTTCATCTATGCAAGAATTTGGTTTGGATGTTAAAGAGACTGCCAAACATAGGTTAAAACACTTACGCAAGTCAATCAATCAAGCAAGAATCGCACGACAACGAGAAGAAGCTTCAAAATCTAAGTTAGAGTCATTAGAGACAACTTATCCACCGGCAGTTAGATTTGATGTTGAAAATGTGGGTGTTACAATAGAAATGCGTAATAATTCAAATGATGTGATAGTCAGTGATAGTGAAAAAGTCAGTGATATCGATAAAGTTAGTGATAGTGATATAGTCAGTGATAGCAAAGAGGACTCGACCATAGAAAAGCAAGATAATTATGTTAAGCAAAACTACCTTGATATTAGTAATGCTGCCGTTGCTTCTGTTAGATTTGGTGTATCATCGACTGCTACTGCTGCAATCATTAATGGTCTACTGAAAGATATTATGAAAGCAGGGAAACTTTTTGAAGATAAAATAATCTTATATGTGATAGCATGAAATTTTTTCGTGCCAAAGAGCGTGCTATGAAGTATTCCAGAATAGAAGAAAATTTCGACTGTGAAAGAAATATAATCACTGGAATTTTTGTTGATGGTAGAAAAGACAAAACTTTAATTCTTATCCATGATAAAACCACAGGCACCTTCAGAAAAAAAATTATCAAAGAAAATCATATAACTGTGACAGAAGAACCTAGAGGTCGTTACCTTACTCATTATACACCAAAGCCTAAGTCAGAAACATCTAAACCAGCCAAGCAATGTGCTATTGGATTATTCAACTGGTTAATGGAAAGAGGTAAAGATCTTAATCTCCAACTAATTGGCAGTGATACTACAAATGAAATGTCTGGATGGAAAGGTGGAATGATTCATTTAGTGGAAGAACTTCTCAATCGAAAACTTTTTAGATCTTTTTGCTGGCTTCACATTAATGAGCTTCCATTCCGTCATATTGTTGAAAAACATGATGGACCAACTTCTTCAGATAAAGGATGGTGTGGAGCAGAAGGTAAACTATTTTCCAAAGTTGATAATCTTGAAAGAATTACTCAATTTACTCCTATTTTGCTTCTGGAGCCTCTTGTTAATATCAGTGAAGATTTCTTAAAGCAAATGAGCACTGACAGTTTAGTTGCATGGAAGTACTTGAATGCAATTCTGAAAGGAAAGCTTGATCCTGAAGTAGAAGCTCTTAAATGTGGTAGATTGTCTCACAGTCGATGGCTTACTTGTGGCATGAGATGCTTTCTTCTCTATATGAGTAAGCATGATCTTGAACCTGTTAATGCAGAGATCTTAAGACTGCTTGCAACTTGGGTGACTCAGGTTTATCTTCCAATGTTCTTTGAGATAAAAGTAAAGCATGACATTAAATACGGTTCTTGTCATCTTTTAAAGCTGTTTCGACTTTGGCAGAAGCAAGATGATAGGGTTAAAGAAGCATCTAAACTTTATCTCAGAAATGAATCTTGGTGGGCTCATCCTGAGAATATACTTGTCTCGCTTCTCTGTTCTGATAACTCAGAACAAAGGTTATTTGCAGTCGACACATTATTGGCCGTTAGGAAGGGAAGTGAGTTGGGCTCAAATGATGTTAGACTATTTAAAGTTCCACAAACAATAAACCTTAATGCATGTGACATTAAAGAACTTATTGATTGGAAAAAAGAGGTTGTTACTGAACCAATTTTCACTACAAACATGTCGTTAGTCCAACTCAATGCATTGATAGTTTCTCCCCTGCAGCTACCTCCATACTCATTACATACTCAAAGTTGCGAGAGAGCAGTCAAATTAGTCACAGAAGCAGCTGAGTCAGTCTGTGGTTAGGATAAA